ACCTTCAGGACAATTTCGCAATGGAACGCACTGCCAGAAGAGATAGTCTCTTCAACAAGCAAAGCGTCATTCAAGTCTAGAATTGATAAGTATCTAGGTCTAGTTGCCTCCTCCTGAGTCCTTCTATGAAAAGCTTTATATATGTACTCAAAAACAAAAACCAAAAAAAACATTTTATTGTTTTGCTTTTTATTATTTATTTTACCGTAGCACTTCTTAGTTATTCTATGCCTGCTCATTTACCATAGCTCATTGTTACGTTTACTATTAATGGTGCCAGAATAGCCCCCGGGCAAGAAGACATATTGCCCCTCCAGTTTTCTCTGATTTTCCAGTTGCATCTTCCAAGAACAGAAAACAAGAAACCATCAAGGATCCGGGACCATTGGGCGCCAGCCTCGAACCCGAGAGTCGCTTCAAGACTTCAAGACAAGACATCTACTCTGCCCACTGCAGAGTAGATATACACGTACGATCCAGTTGAAAAACTATGATGCGATCTTTTCTGCAAGAAATGAAACGTTTTGGAAAGCGTCACGATTCCTGTGTTTCCGACCTTACCTAGTTTGTTTTAATTGTTCAGTTAGCAAGGGTAGCCAGGATATATCTGGGGGTCATTTAAACGTATTTTGTCGGACGCTATAAAATGTGCGAGTATCCAAAAACATTAGAAGGATTACCTTTTCTCCCTGGAAACACCTTCAGAGATCCAACGGTAACCTAGAAAAACAACTCGTCATATTCTTTATAGCAAACAAACTTTCATTTGAGTAATACATTGTCCTACAAAAATGGTTTTCAAATGGCTAAACCTTATCCACAATTCGGAATCGGTGGGAGGCCGTTGAAAGTGAATCAATTAACAGAAGAGGAATTAGATGAATTGGCAAACTTCCAGCCCAGTATCACTTACGGAAAAACGAAACAGGCACCTCCATCTGAGTTTGTTCCGGCTCATGTTGCTCTGGATAAAAAGGTTTTGCGGTTCTACGGGTTTTTCAAGGAAACCGTCAATGAATCACCTCAAGAACATTACAGAGTTCGACTAGTGCAAATAATTTATTTTCTTGAAGACGATAGCATGTTGATAATGGAGCCTCCACAAAATAATAGTGGTATTCCACAAGGTGAGCTTATTGCTGAGGTTGATTTTTGCAATGGTCATTTGGAATATTTACTCTGAAGCGTTCCTAAATGAGATTATTTAAAGGGTATGTATGCTTAAATTTAAGCATACATACCTTGTCTCGCGTATTAATACGCGACGCTGTGTCAACATCTGCCAATTGGCAGGGTATATATATATATGCATATATGCATGTCAGGTTCAGATTGCACAGGACGGTAAAAACTTTCCCCAACCGATCGTCCAGATTTTTGCCTCAGCCAGAACCAACGTTATCCCGGAGCTTCGACTTCCTGTCTACTGTTTAACCGCAGGTAAAATTTTCGTCCAGAACAGCCTCACTTTTTGAGTCCGTATCTGCAAAGGGAGGTTATTCGAGCAAGAAACATATACCGTTAACAATAATTTCTGGATAGAGACTGATCCAGAGCCCATCTCTAGGTGGGCAACTATAGTTGCCTTTTGAACCCATCGACTGTCCTACAGTCCAGCAGTGAAGATGGTAGTTGGTCCCACTCATTTATCACTCTACTCGTGAAGAAGTTGTATCTAAGGTTAAATCGGCTCCTGGGCTTCATTAGCTTCAAATTATACCACCTTGTTGACTCGAGCGGTGCTTGAGTAAACAGACTGTCCGTCTATAGCCCTGTCAGCCCCTTCATTATTTTGAAAGTCTCGATGAAGCCAGTCACCTCTTAGGCATCTCCTCTCCATGGAAAATCCCTAGGGTTTCCAATCTATCCTTATATGATTTACCCCTCATTCCCGCGAGCACTGCGTTGCACCCTCTCAATGGAATTGATATCTTTCCTCAAGTAAGGCGCCCAAGCTTGCAAACAGTATTCTAACTGCGGTCTAACTATGGCCTTACATAGAGGAACCTCCGCCTTCCTCAACAACAGAGCCTCCTTAAACTGAAATAGTTACTCCCTCACTTTTTTGCCGCGACCAGCCACTGATCGCTGGGCTTAAAGTCCTCGCAAACCAAAGTTCCCTCATACAACATTCGGTCTACTCGAGTAAAGACCATCAGTTCCGTGATCGTAGCCACTCGGACTGGAAGCTCTACGGTGTTTAGAACATGACACTTGGTAGCGTTTAGCTCCAAATCCTACTTCTGTATCCACCGGGAAACCTTAGCCAGATCAGCTTCTAGTTGATCTACTGGTCTTGAGTTGATTAATTTCACGTCATCTGCATACATGAATATGCGCATATGCATATATATGTCCATTTATGGATTTATCTAATCATCATCATCGTCAATATCATCGAACGGCGTTTTACAGAGAAGCGAACTTCACTGATCGCTGCCAAACTTATAATGTATCCAAGGTAAATGAGAATGCTTTAAAACAGTTTGAAAAAGAAAAGGGCTTTGGCCTTTGTTTAGCACCAGACGACTTAATTCTACTTTACTAACCCATTTACTCAATCCCACCTGGGCTAGACTACACAAGCACTTATTGTCAAAAACCACCAGACGACAGCTTTCTTCTACCAGAAAATTTGAGGCCTTAAGACCATAAAGCAGAACTAATAGCACAATGGCGCAGTATGGGTGACTTCTCAACTTCATTGAAACGCCACTTCGTCGCCAAAGTTGTGTTATTTCTGTATACGCTCCCGTAGGCTGTTTTGTTTCATTCGTGTCACCTGTAGGAAAACTTTGGATGTGAGTGAAACGATCTATGAAGCTGATAGCTTGCTTATTCACAATCAACAGCGATGTCTTGAACCCTGGGCGGAGCACTTCAAGACACAATTCAGCTGGCCACCCGCGCCAGCTTCTCACATAGCTATTCCGGCACACGCCCCGTAGTCTGTCTCAACAGACCCACCTGAGGCGTAAATCCGTAAGGAGATCCAAGCCTTGGGAAGTCACAAAGCGCCGGGCTCCGGTGGCCTTCCGTCAGCTATATTTAAAGGTGATGGGATCAAGCTTGTTAGAGAACTCCACGCACTGTGCTCTAAAGTTTGGAACACTGAGCAGGCTCCCTCCTTGTGGGGGAGGGGTCGATTATTGTCTCCCTCTTTAACAGGGGTCCACGCAATGATTGCGCCAATCATAAGGGTATAAGCCTTAACCCAATAGCTTCAAAGCTATTAGCTTCCGTTATTCTTTGTAGATTGAACAAACGCGCGAGGAACATGCCCGTGAGGAGCAGGCTGGGTTTCGTGCCGGTCGTGACTGCATCGATCAAATCTTTACCGTCTGACAGTTGCTTTAGCACCGTCATGCTTACCGTAGACCAACAATCATTGTGTTCTTAGACATCCGTTCGGCCTTCGATTCTGTTGATAGGACCGCATTATGGAGGTGTTTGTTGATGAATAGAGTACCAGAGAAGTATGTTTTGATCCTCGTCACACCTAGGGTCGGGTAAGGGTCTATGGTCAACTTTCACCACCCTTCACCGACTCCAGTGGAGTTCGACAAGGCTGCCGTATATTCCCTTTCCTTTTTAACTTCGCTATACAGGATGTCTTGCAGGACGCTTTGTCCGGTTTAGCAGATGGGGGAGTCAAACTCCTCCCAGGGAACAGAGTTCGTGACTTAGAATATGCCGATGACATCGCCTTGTTGGGTGACAATGCACAGGCAGTCCAACAAGCTTTACACCACTTGAAGATCGAGGTATCCAGATATGTTATGTGCTTTGTACCATCAAAGTGCAAAGTGCGTGTTCAAGACTGGTAGGAGCTTGTGCCTGCACTCGCTTTCTGTGGTGATTAGCTGAAAATGGTCGAGAGCTTTAAGTACCTCCGGACCTTAATCACAGCTGGAGGTGGGGATAGGGAAGAGATCACACCACGAATAGCGAAAGCTAGGACAGCTTTCGCCAACCTGCGAAACCTGTGGCGCCGCCGTGATATACGACTGTTCCTTAACGGGTATACATTGCAGCGGTCCGTAGTGTTCTGCTTTACGGCTGCGAGACTTGGCTTCTCCGAGCGAAGGATGTTATTCGACTTTCCGTATTCGGCCACCGATGCCTTAGAAGCATTGCTCGTATCTGGTGGGAACATCTGGTGAGCAATAACGAAATTTTCGTTCTGTGCTGGGCACTGATAGTCGTTCTCTAACGGAAGAAATCGTTCTACACCGCCTTCGATGGCTTGGTCATGTTTTGCGTATGTCTGCCCATCGACTATCTTTCCGTGCTCTCTAAGCATGTGTTGGGCAAGGTTGGAAGAAGCTTCGAGGCGGTCAGACCATGACGTGACGCAGAGGCATGAAGAAGCTGGCTTCAGCATTGACTTTGATTGGTGCAGCTCACCTTCCAGGCTGGGGCCCAAGGGATGAGGATTTCCGATAGCTAGAGACGCTGGGAAATATGACTCAGAACAGATGTCAGTGGAACGAGTGCTGTGCGGTTTGTTTGGCAAAACCCCGTTCCTCGTAGCACAAAATTCTTCAAAATGTGCGCGGTGAAACTACAAGACGTCCTCCATTTATACATTCGTTCCCCGTGTTTTCTGTTTTCCCCATTTTAATTTAATCTTTCTGTACCCCTCCATAACTTCATTATCATTGTTTTGCATTGGCACCATGCTTGTTCTAAAGCCGGTGTAAAATATAAATACATAAATACGCTCCTAGAGCCTTGAAAATACGGACAATTATCGCCTTTGATGCGCTATCGTAGTTGGTCTAGCAGCTATCGAAGTGATAGAAGCAGTCAACTTCAACTAATTCCTGACAGTCTAGTTNTGAAGGTACAAGCGCATGCCGAACGAATCGACAGGACTTTCAATTCTGTCAAGTGCACTTTTTGCATCTGCTATACATTCTAATCGGCAGATGATGTCGTTAGCGTACTCTAGGATGCACAGCTTTTTACCAGCTGCCCATTCAATACCAACATCTTGGAAACCACTTAGTTTGTTCTCCAGTATTTCGTTTATGACCAAATAGAACACAAAGGGAAAAAGAGGGCACCCTTGAAGAACACCACTGCTAATTACGGAAGACCTAATTAGCTCGTTGCATACCCTTACGCTACCAGAAGTATGCAAGTAGAGTGAACTCAGTCTGTTCACATACTTCTGCGGCATTCCTTTGTGAAGGGAAGAACCCATAAGTGATTCGTGGTCAATTGCGTCAAAGGTTTTTTTGGTCAAGTAACTCTGCGATTGTTGTTCAACGGTATTTATGTCGTAGTTAGAGAACTTTACGCAGCGGGAAGATCTGATCGATACAAATGCAACCTAGTTGAAATCTGTTTGTTTTTCAGTGATATTTGTCTCTCTAAATGGTGTGGGACGTCGAAATATGGCGGAGGCTGATACCTTGATGACAATTGGGATCAAACTTATTTCATGGTGGTTTTCGCAGTCTTTGCGAGGTTCCTTCTCAAAGATTGGAACGATCAGTAATTCGCTCCTAATTCATTGTATGCGCCTTCCATTCACTCGCCTTACTCATGCTTTTGTATAAACCTGGGCGGTTACGAGTCTAGGTTTAGCGTTGTCAAGATATCATTTAGCATCATTCGCTTTCACTCGACAGCTTTTGTATGCACTAATATAGGCCATTCTTACCTTGGGCAGGTCATATGATAGGAACGATGATTATGATCAACTTTATCCAGCCTCATCGTTTCCGGTGCACAGATTTTGGTTTTTGTTTCCGAGGGAGTTACCTAACATTCACCGCTGTGAATCTGCAACACAGTTGTCTCACTTTAGTTCATAGGACGTAGCGTAGGTGTACCAATATACCCAGCTTCTTGCACCGATAGTATCCGTCGATTCCCTGTTGCTGCTTTATGCAAAGAAAATGTGCAACAATCAGTAGGAACACCCCGATCGCATGGCCTCTGTCGAAGCCGTTTTATCAGGAATAGTGATATAGCTTGTGGACACAAGGAATAGCCAGACTAATGTATGAAGGGCAAGAAAATTAAATGAAAGTAATAACACAGACAGATAAATAAGGAAGAACCTTCATTTCTGGGGAAATTGATAAAGGGAAGATGAAAAGGGTCCGAAAAGACGAATTAGATAAACAAAAGAAATAGATAAATTTTGTGTAAAGTTTTTGTTCCATGCTGGTAATGGTTGGTGGTTTAATCTCCATCTAAAGTGAAGAAAATCAGCCCTCACGTTGAACATGCTGATTCACCTACGATTAAGCATGTAATTAAAGTCTACTGTCAAGTTAAGGGGAATTACTTCTTTAGGATGATTATTAGACATCTTTAATTCTCGCTCTGCAATGAACGATATCATTCAGAAGATTCACACTATATTTATTCAGTTCTGAAGCAAGAACTCTCAAAATTAGTACCTCATTAGGCTTCTGCAACACATATACTTGTTGATAACTAAAACTAGCATAGTATCATGATGTGGCGTTCATAAAATTTAAAATAGGTTAAAATAATGTATGCTTTTCATAAAGACTAGGAATGAACTAGAGCATAAAATATGTTGACTGGACAATCGTGAATCTATATTGTGCTCTGGCTTTTGAAATTTTTGGAGAACTTTTCTGGTTTCTCAAACTGGAAAATGCATCAGTTCCTCAAACTTAGAAACTCGAAAAATAGTTGAATTACTGCTAAAATTTCCTTCTGAAGTTTGTTGAGTTGTAACAGAGTGCAGGTTGCCCGTCAACAGCGACAATGTTTTAAGAAGAAAACATAAGTTCCAAGTACCTCCGACTGGTAGTCAGCTGCCGGAATTTCTACGCATTTGATGGCAAAATGCCTCCTTACCCAAAACGACTCAGATATAGATCCTTTACTCTTCGAGTATACCAGTGACCTGCTGAAGAAGCTTAACTGCCTGTCGTTCACAATCTAACGACACAAACTAGCGGTGTTCCCCTCTGAGTCAAGCAATAAAAAGTGATTTTCATACCTTAAGAGGTTAAACCGATCACTGAAAACTATCACTGGATGTGACCAAGTGCAAACAACTAGTGAACAAAGGTCACACACTATGGAGAGGCACAAAATACTCAGCCGAAATTTAACAATACTTTGACATGCAAAACTTACGGATCCAATTCTTAAACAACTTCAAAGCAGGCAAATATTGTTTAATGGCTGATTGGTACTATAACAGAGCATGGTACCCAACTCTTGGAATCACAGTGTCCAGAAACCCGGAGTCATTGGTTCCATTCTGTAAGGTGTTTATATGACCATACTTGGAATACATTGCCCGAAGCAAGAAAATATTTCTCACAGTTAATGCAGTGGAAGTCGACCATGTGTTTACCTCAACCTTGGAGTTAAAAATACTAAAGTTCGCTTCGAAGCCTAAATCTAAGGAGGCACCAAAGGAGTGACATATTGTAGACTTTCAATTACTCCAGGGATGTAATGGATACAGATAATTCAACGTTTACTATGAGTGAGGACATAGCAATATTAAGCGAGTTATTTTCACCAAATAACATCTAGTTTTTTTACATATAAGATAATGGTTTTAAATGTTCAAATTTTTTGTTTACCCGCGGATCTTACTCTCTGGTAGGCCATGCCTGTCTTGAAATTCTGCATGCAAGCCGTCACAATGACCCTTTGTTGAAGAAACCTTATTGATATCATTAATTGAATACTCAGATAACTTGCTTTATCTTAATTTGAAGTTCATCTGGGAAATAAAAGGGAAAAATCAAAACTATCATTTACACTCAAAGCACGATTGAGTTATGCCTGACCTCAAAAGTGCAAACAATTTAACGTCACTGGCAGCGATCACGAGTTATGTGGCCAAATTTGACCTGGTCTAACACGGGACAACAAAATAATAGATATAGCTTCGAATTATGCGCCCGAAGATCTGCAATGCACGCGTTTTTGCTCAGTGCGTGATTCGAAGCAGTTCATTTACTTAAGACTTGAGCGAAAGTGCTGAACAATTTTTAGACACCCAACTAACGTTTTAGTCCTCAACTAGATGAAATAGACAATAAGTAATGCCAGCAAGCTCATTTTCACTATTAATTGCAGTAAACCGTTTCAGTGTTGTTCAATCTTTTGTGTAAATTCAGCATATTATTTGCAATGTGACGAATAGACTAAGAAGTAACTAGAGACCGAGAATTTTCGACGTTCTTTTTCATTTGCCTTCTGCTATAATTTTGAGTATCAAACTTCCTATCTATAGCAAAAGATTTCGTAATTCTAATGATTGCCATCGCCTCCAAAAGCCTCAGTATGGTCAGAGGTGAGTATCTCGGGTTGTGGCTGGTCACCCGTCCCTTGCACTTCGCAAAATGTTCCTATATGATCGGGCGTTTCAAAAGTCTCTACTGAGAAAGCCCTATTCACTGCATTCTCATGAGGTTTATGTTCTCCTTCCGAAGTTAGGATGAAAAGACAATATCCGGGTCTATAAACAGGTCGATGAACCACTGGCGGGTCACTAATGGAAGTTTGCTGACAATCCTGATTCAAAATCACCCAAGAAGCGTACAAACCACACACCCCACATCTTCCTGATTGTGGCGGAGGTCACCAGCTCAATTGATACTCGAGTTGTATTGGGCGCTCTAAACATTTGGCCCTATGCAAACGGTCCACCAGTGGATAGCGATTTTTACACACCATTTCGCCGCCTTGCGGGTCAAGCTTTGTTTAGCCGAGGGCTCCGGTTGTGAATTTCCCAAGAAAATTTACATGCCTTGGTCTGGGAAACCTATAGCTTATCGGCGCCCACAAGCAAATCATGAAACGTTTTCTTTTTTCTTTTAAAAACTGTACAATTATTTGTTTGGTAAATTTACAATTTACTGATTTGTATATTTATTACCATCAAATCGCCTGATTGCAAAAAATGAAATGCCTGATTAGCTGTGAACAAAGACATATGATCAGATAGGGACGTCTCAGAAACGTCGTAGAAATTGAAGTGACCAAATCGAATATGTATAGAGGCTACTCAGATCCTATTTTATTTCTCATAAGAATAAAGAACTGAATGAGTGATGTTTGAATAGGCTTGCTGTGTTGAGTTTTACTTCGAAAAAAGTTAGACAAATTGAGTAAAAGTGTTATGTTTATATCGGTTTGTTTAGCATAACTAGAACACAACCTAATCCAAACTATTCGTCTGTAGTAGCTGCCTCAATAAGAGATTAGTAATTAAATACACGGTTTATTAATTTCGGTTAGTAATATCGTGGTTACATTCAATGGAATTTCAAAAACTTTAATAATGTGGCTTAATTTTGAGAAAAACTAGAGCCTGCTTCAGATTTTACTATGCGCCGGGACTACTGACAAAGCTGGAAGACAGGACCACATTGGAAATATTGATCTGGTGAACCCCTCATTTCATTCAACCCAAACAGCTTAAAGTCTCTCAATTAAAGAATACGCCTCCCT